CATATCGTTTCCATGAAACTGTAATTTGACCAGACTTTCCATGTGGGAATGGAGGCTCAGCAATGGCAGGAGCAGATTCTGCACCCCTCAGTGTGGTGAGAGCTGTCTTACGCTGTCTGAAAACACATCAGATGGTGGAAGTGGGCAAGCCCCAGCACCACGTGCCTCAGTGATTCCGTGTGGGACCCATGGCAGGATTTACAAGCAGGGGTGGTGGTGTGTTCTGGTCATGTGTGCTTGTATAAGACAGATGCATTGCATTTATGACCAGAAGATGAAGTCTACTACTTACTTTGGCAAGCATAGGCCAAAAGCCTTTGCCATGCCTTTGCATGTGAGGTCTCTGTCAGGCTATTGCAAAATTAATTTGGCTTTACAATCTTGCAAACTATCTTGCAATTGTCTTTTTTACCTCTTTGTTTTCAAAACGAACTTAGGCAAATAAATTTAAGGTTAAAATAATGTTTTTAAACAGTTTCTTTACGATTTCATATGGAAAATATAGCAGATAAATTTGCCTGATGAAAGATCATAGAATCATAGAATCATAGAATGCTTTAAGGTTGGAAGGGACCTCTAGAGGTCACCTAGTCCAACTCCCCTCCACACACAGGGTCGCCTAAAGCTTCTCAAAGCCCCCATCACTCATCTTTTTTTATTAATTGTCCAGCTACCTGATCGGTCTGATGGAAACTTTTAATGAAAAAGCAGAGGAGCTGATGGAGAAGCTAGAGAAAATGGCAGATGGAAAGAAAGAGTTTAGCATGTTGGCGATGATGAGCCGAATAACGTTGGACGTCATTGCAAAGGTACCAGCTGCTTCCTTGTTTCCTCTGCAACTGGCAGGCAGGAGCAGAAGGAGCAAGTGCACACGGGCAGAAGGCTGGAGCAGGCAGCGAGAACTTTATGCAGGAAGGCCAGAAGAGCTGAGACACAAATTGTGCCACTTCTGCCAGGGTGACCGGCAGAGAAACCCGACAGGAAGGGACAGTTCAGGGAAGGGGTTACCGTCCACGTTCTGTAGCAGTGGGCAGCAGTGTGCCATGCAGGGGACCCTTTGCAAAAGCCCATGCAGTCTGATAACTCACGCTCCTCCAAGCCAAAAGGGGCACAGCAGTATTCAGTCACATGTGCATACTCTTTCATTACCATTATCCATCAGTGTGAAATCACACTGGCTTTTCCCTTCCTTATGTGAAACACCTTGGGAATGCTTAGAGAGTAGCATTAACCTATTAATTCACCCAAGACAAGGAGGAAGCCTAGCCTAAATATTACCCTTCCCTCGCAGACAGGTACAAGGCAGAGTCTAACCTAAGACAGGTTTACAGCAAGAGAGACTTGCTCTCCCATCCCAGAGCACAGAAGTGAGGAGGATTCAATTAGTTGCTGCTTTTTTATCCTCAGATAGCTTTTGGCTTGGAATTGAACACGCTGAATGATGACCAGTCACCCTTTCCAAAAGCTGTGACCATGATTATGAAGGCAATGACGGAGACACGCATCCCCCTTGTGCAGGTATGTACTCACCCACTTCTCTGCTCTCCTCGTATTGAGGTCTGCGTATGACAGGTGGAGTGTGGCCAGTAACTCCTTCCCTCAAACATGCATTGGGATAAAATTTACTAGTGCTCTAAAACACTGGCAAAATTTCTATTTAATGCTTTGTTCTTGTTTTTCTGCCTTCTACTCCTCCCTGCATATATCTTCACCTTCTCTCAGGTCTTTATATTTTCACATCCATAACTAAAAACTGAGAAGTCCTTCTCATTTGTCCATGAAAGACTGCTTTCATCCAGTATTGTAGAAATTTGAATTTAACATAAAAACAAAATATGATTTTCACCCAAACTCAAGTTTTAGAAAATTATGCATGAAATCTGAAATACTTCTGATTATTTCATAAAATAATTCTCTATGAAAGGTGTGGTTCAGACTCTTAGTGTTTCTGTTTCTAATCTTTCTATTTTCTCTTTTTTTTGGAGGAGGGAGGAAGAGGGCAAAGACTCTGTTTACACTCTGTATCCTGTTACAATTTCTTTCCTCAGGGTAGTGAGAAATTTTGGCCACTCCTCTCAAAACATTAGCTCTAGCAAGACATGACATTAGCATGCACAGCTTGAAATGTTTCTTGCTTTAGCCAAAATAAGTCATTTTGGAGACATCCACCTTTCTCAAGGAGAACAGACATGTTTGTGAAAAATGTTATTTAACAGAAAATGAGGTGCTCACTTGAAAAATAATACTGTCAATATTTTTACCAGCTAAAGAAATAATATGACTAAGGAAATTCTATATTCAGTACCTGCCAGGAAAACAGAAATTGATAAAGGAGATCCAGGAGAGCGTGCGACTGCTACGCCGCGTGGCCAGGGAATGCATTGAGCAACGGAGAGAAGACATGAAGAACGGGAAGGAAGACACATTAGATATTCTTACACAGATACTTAAAGGAGATGGTAGGAAACTCAATGTTGCTTCAGTGAGTTAGTTGGTGGTATGTTTTTCCTGATATTTTCTGAGGCGGGTTGTTTTGGGGATCTGAATTTTGACATTCAATCTCCTTTGAATGTATTCAGGAGTGTAAGCTTTACCACACTGAAGGGACATATCGGCACTTGTTTTGAAAATTCCTTCTCTTCAAATACATTCCTGATTTCTTTATGTTGGATCAAAGACTGGTCACAAGTCACCCTTGGCCTTGTCTCAGAACCCTCTCCCAATTCTACTCTGATAAAATACTCAAAGAAGGACATAGCATTCTAGCTGCTCCAAATGGCACTTTTTTTTTTTTTTTTTTTTTTCTGACAGCTCTGCAGGAAATTAGAGATGATGAAAATATCCTGGATAACTTCATTGCTTTCTTTGTTGCTGGTTCGTAGCTATTTCATTGTTTGGATATGTAACATGGGCAGCTGTACTTGTTCTTGGGCTGTCGACAGGAGTATCAGTAATGGCTTTGCTCCAAGACCACTTGAATAAGGTTTTGTGGCTTTCTGATAGGCAAATGATATTTTATCCTCCTATCCTGTCCTTTAAGCACGGTGAATAATGCCGGGCTCCAATCTTCAGCACTCCAATATTCTTTACACAGTTTTGGCCTTTTCTCCCCAACTCCTGCTAAATCACACTGAAAGGATCTTTACTATATTACGGATGCCTTTGCATCACTTCACCCACACATGTGAATGCCACTCTTCCCTTAAGGGCCTTATGCAGTGCTTAGTAGGAGCGGGCACTGTCAGAACTACAGAGCACAAACCAACATGATACGTGAGGTAAATGACTTAGAAACATTCATCTCGTTGCCAAGCAGGGGGATTTAGGTCCCCAACAAGATGAAATCAAAACGTCTTTTGCAAAGACAAGCAGAAAAACAAACAAACAAAAAGCTATCTTTTCAACAAATCTCTTTTCAATAATGCTTTAAATATATATATATATGCACGTCTACCAATGAGAAAAATGGAAAATGCCCACAGCAAACAGACACTTTAAAGACAGTCTGTTAGAAGCTCAATGTGCTCTCAGAACAAGTGTATTCTTGATTCTTAGCAGGACTATGTGTCCCATAATATGACACAGCAAATATTGAATATGACCGGCCTTTTTTTAAGTAATGGTCCTTGCTCTTTGCGACCTCTTAAGCTGTACGTGCTGTATGCATCAACTGCAGATTTGCACTGATCTGTAAAGCTTGTGTCTTTACCTGTTCTGTCTTGTGCTTGAAACACTTGAAAGCTCCTTAAATAAATAGAATGCCCCTTGCGGTGTTTTTTTTCTCCTTTTATTTTTTCCCTTTCCCCACCTAGTATATTTTAAATTAAACATTCAGGGATGGAATTTTAAAGCAACTTTTGCACATTAACACTACTAAAGCTTCTAAATCCCATACTTATTTCAAACTAATTTTTAAACTGATTTTTGTGTTTTTAGGTCACGAAACAACTGCCAATCAGCTGTCATTTACAGTAATGGCACTGGCTCAGCATCCTGAAATATTGGAAAGGTATGTACCCTGTAACAAACAAGACCAGCCATGCTGTTACTTTCAAGAATTTAATAATTTAAAAGCTCATTAAAATGTAGAATCAGTTCCTAATAAATCTAGTCTTCTTTCTAAACTACAGATGCAAACTACCATTTCATAGTCCAATATATATTTTTTTAAAAAAAGAGCTTAAAATTAATTGTTTTAATTCCATCCACATGATTTTTTAGAGGTCTTTGTACAAAGCTGATCCAGCTTAAAATTAATTGTTTTAATTCCATTAAATGATTTTTTAAAGCTCTTTGTAAAAAGCTGATCTTCAGTCCTGCCTGATGCCCTTTCCCTGTACACCAACTATTATACCCCCATACGAGGCACAAGTCCAGGAGGCTGACTGGCAATCCAAGGCATTTTGCCTGTGGAGTGAAATCAAAATCCGTCTCAATGTCTGGAAAGTTAAAAAAATGTAATTTGTTAAATTGCTGGGCAAGAAATGGGCATCCATAACTAATGTTTTTTAATTTAACTACAGACTTCAGGCTGAAGTGGATGAAGTTGTAGGTGCCAAGAGAGACATTAACTATGAAGATCTTTGCAAACTCACGTATTTATCACAGGTACTGCAGGAGGGAGATGAAATCCCCCTCAGAGCTTTGGTAGCGCTCTTGTGTCGTGTGAGAGCCAAGAGTTGTCCCACACTGCTGAAATTTAACATGTCACACCAGCATTGGATTCTGACAGCCCTTGTCCTCAAAGAAGTACACAGGTACTCTGAGCCTTTTGCAGCAGCTGGGCCTTGTCACAAAAGCTGTTTCTAGAATTCCATGCTGAAATCTAAGACGGTTCTTTCACTGCTTGCTATAATTATTAGCAAGCTGGGATCCAGAGCCAAATTGCTTAGTCCCTGTCATTTTAAGCTGAGCCAGTAGCCATACTTTAAGAAGGCTTTGCAACTTTGAACCCAAGACTGGCATGAGCCCTACCCAAGTCCCAAACATACTGATGTATTTTTGTTTGGTTATTGCTAAAGCATTTCACAGAATCACAAAATGCTTAAGGTTGGAAGGGACCTCTAGAGATCATCTAGTCCAACCCCCTGCACACGCAGGGTCACCTAGAGCACGTGGCACAGGACTGCGTCCTAGCGGGTTTTGAAGATCTCCAGAGAAGGAGACTCCACAACCTCTCTGGGCAGCCTGTTCCAGTGCTCTGTCACCCTCACTGTTAAGAAATCTTTCCTTAAGTCCATGTGAAACTTTTGGTGCTTCAGTTTCTGGCTGTTTCCTCTGGTTCTGTCAGTGGCCACCACTTAAAAGAGGTCAGCACCATCCATTTTCAACTATGATCTCATCATGTACAATTAACCAATCAGGATTTGGTGACATCCCAAAATAATGGTCAGTTTTTGCAATTTTATTCTTTAGGATTCAGCCTTTAGACCCTCCTTACTTGAAAAAAAATGAGTCTGGTCCTTATTAAAAATATAGAAATGCTGATCGTAATAGACTGTACAGCTAAGGCATGGTTACTTGTTTGTTTTTATTTTTTTCAAGATGGGAGACACCAGTAACCTTTAGCAGAGGCTGAATCTCAGTTCTGGCAACTAGTGTCCCTGCTTAAATTTCCCTGTTATTTTAATGTTCTCTCAAATTGCCCTATCGAAATGGGTGATGGTATTTTAACATTTGCCATGTCTCATGCCACAGATCAGTGTGCATATGTGTGTGGATAAAGATCAGAATTTCCCATATGGGAGAGACTTCTCTGTGTGCTTGCAGGAATCTGTGTGTTTCTTCAGACTTCTCCAAATATCATCACAGTTACACGAGTCCACCTGGGACGATGCATCCTAAGCCTTTCAGTTTTAAGGCAGATCACACAGAGCCTCTCTGGGCAGACAGTTCATTTAACAGCACAAAGCATGAGATCTGTACAGGCAAAATCACAGCCACCCTTGGTCAGAGAGCCAGTCTGACCAGTGGAGCACTGGAGATCATAGGGCACCTCTCGTGCCCACCAAGCACTTGTGAATCCTTTTGTCCGCCCTTCTTTTTCATTAACTCACTTGTGAGTACACACCATTAATTGCATTTACAGTGCAGTGCTAATGAGCACTGTTAATTGGGCTTCGCTTCCAAGAAGGAAAGCCCACTTACACACATCATCTTAATCAATCACCTGATATTTCTCTTGGTGGCATGTGAGACCCTGAGACCCTGTTCTTTTCATTAGGAAAAAAAAAAAAAAAGAGAGAAGGAACATTGTATTTTTTTAATTGGAAACGAGGTCTGATATAAAGGAGCTAATTTTGTCCTATATTCTGCACTCAAAAGTGCAAGGAAGAAATGCCAGCATTGCTTCCACAAGTCAAAAGTTCCCATTTTAGCCAGCAGCCATAGGGAAGGAATTTTAATTCTGCTTCCCCTACTATATTACCTAACTGACCCTTTGTGCTTTTGGCTGACACAGGTTTTGAAGGAATCTCTCCGACTGTACCCACCTGTCCCAGGGACTTTACGCTGGATAGAGAAGGAACTGGTTGTTGATGGCATCAAGATTCCAGCAAACACAACACTTGTTGTGAGTCCAGCAGCAACATCCATGCATCAGCGGGTTTTAGCTACTGCAGTGGGTACAAATATAATGGATCTGGATATCACAGGGCCAAAGAATTCTCCGGCATAATTCTACTGGAAGCACGGAAGTTAGGCCTGGAGAAATTCTGGCCAAAACTGAAGTGTGAATTGGGACTATAAACTGTTTTTGTGAGAGGCCCAGGGAGTGGAACCAAGACCAACCCCTACCTGGGGAGCGGAAAGCGGTGGGAAGTGTTTGTATCTGTGACAGCAAAGAGGCATTTCCAGTGTGCTTCTCCTGATTAATTCAAATAAAATGTTTCCCTCCACTTCAGCACTTATGTAATGGGAAGGATGGAACAGTTTTTCAAGGACCCACTCACTTTCGATCCACAACGATTTAGCAAAGAGGCACCAAGGTGAGTTTCTTTTTCCTGCCAAGTTATTAAGTATTCAATAAGGAATTGCTTCCAGGGTAAAAAGTGGAATGAAATTACTTTTTTGTTTCTGTACATGTAACACTAAAGCCCTGTTCAAGTGCAAATAATTTCCCGCTTTCCTTCAGAAGTTCTTTAGACTGCATGATAACTTACAAAAAAACCCAAAAAAGATAAATGCTAACGTTTTTTCACTATTTTTTCTGAGGTAAAAGTTCTGAGTAAAAATCCGGGTTGAAAACTGAGCTTACTGCAGTGCAAACTTGTAATACATGACAACCCTCAAACTAAGAAGCTTGAAGTTTCCCCACAATTAAGATGGGAAAATAGTCCCAAAAGCATAAAATGATGTTCTGCAGTAGGCTCAGGAGGCCTAAGGTACATCTTCAGCACTAAGCAGTAGTGCAAGAGGAGAGAGCAATGGGTCAAAGCAATAGGTGTGAGGCCCCTCTCTCTATATTGCTTGTGGATCAGGGGGTTTATTTCAGACCAGGATGAGGCTAGACTGCTGGACCAAATTTCCATGTGCACTGATATGGTTAAGAGTTGTCCAAAGGAGAAGCAATGGGATGGATCTTTATCTCCTCATGAGGAGCTAGAGGGCATTTAGAGCATATTTGAAATTCAGTGTAGAAATCAGGTTTGCATGCATCAGAACTGCTCTGTGAGCTCAGCCAATGCACAGTAAGTGGAGAGGACTGGGAATTTGCTTTCAAGCTGCACTAATGCTCTGAACCATAAATGCAAATTTGGAGGCAGCCAAAACAACTCAGATAGGCAAAGCGGAATTTAAACTCCCTTCTTGTTGTTGTGATGAGATGCTTGCTTCTTCTTTGCAACAAGGCCATTGGAATGACAGTTTTGAAAGTTTTTTTTCTCTTCATAGGCCATATTACTCCTACTTTCCTTTCTCTCTGGGACCCCGATCCTGTATTGGGCAGGTTTTTTCTCAGGTAAGCGGGATTGGAAGGGTGATCCATTAGCAAGAACAGTCCCGTTCAAGGTGTGCTGGCAGTCACTGGTGTTCAGAGGCCAAAGGCCATTCTGATGGAGCACCTCTAAAGGGAAGATCTCCAGCAGGATCTGTGACAGGGCTTGTATCTGCCATGCGATCGGGTGGACATGCACGTAACAAACTGGTCATGCATACATGTACACATTCAAGGTGCCTTCAGGAGAGGGGGCAAGTCACCCTGTGACTTGTTCTGAGTCTGCTTGAATCCAAAGCCTTTTATAAGAATTGCAACCATCACCATGTTGCCACCCAAAAGTCAAATGCAAGGGAAATGTACAGAGGTTCTTGCGAACCTGTGGCCACAGCTGGCAGAGTCAAGACATGCAGAATATCTGCAGTCACAGACCAGCCAAGCCTGGCATTGAGAAGGGGAGGAGGGCCCTGCATGGATGGGAGAAACCATTTAATAAAACAGGTGAGTAGGTGAGCATGGCAAAGGGCATTTTAGAAGCACAGCGGGAGGCCAACTCTTGGTGTTTGTGCTGTGAGTTCATCTAAGCATTCAGACTCAAAATCTTGGTTGGACTCTGATTTCCAAAACAGTGTTAACACATAAACACAAGGACAAGTCCTTGTTCTTGGCATCTGACTTCAAATCCAGGAAGCCCCAGGTGTATGTGTTCTTCCTGCCCAGACTCACAGTGAGCTGCATTAGTAGAGTGATGAGTTAAGTTTTAATTATCTAGGTTGACAAAGCAGCACGAAGTACCTAAGTGAACTAAAGTCGTTGCAATCAAGGCTGAATTTGCTGTCACTTGAATTGAGTTTGCTTTTTTTCTTTAACAGATGGAGGCAAAAGTGGTGATGGCAAAATTGCTGCAGAGGTTTGAATTCCAGCTGGCACCAGGACAGAGCTTTAAAATCTTGGATACTGGCAGCCTTAGGCCACTAGATGGAGTCATGTGTAAATTGAAGCCAAGGAGCCATCTGAAAGGCTTCCAGATGTGATTGTGAGGAAAGTGGCAGTTTCTTCTGATTTTGAAAATCTCCCCAGTAATCAAAGGTTGGATTTTGCAGGTGCCTTTAGATGAAAACTAGCCTGAAAATTTTTCTAGCCTTCCATATCATTTATTGAAGAAAAAGTGGTTCTGGATTTGTTTGAATATCTTCAACCTGGAAGTTTGTCTGGAACTTGCAAAGCCTGTTTTTTTGTTTTGTGTTGTTTGCACTTGGGACTATCGGGTTGTGACCAGACTTTGGAAGGAATATCTCCTCCCCGGTAACTACACCCAAACCTAATCAAACCCCACATGATACTTTGCACTGTTTTAATTTACAGTACAAGATGGACTAAGTAAAGGGCTTACTTAGCATTACTTAGAACTTATTTAGCTCAAGGAGCTTCATATTTACACAGAATGAAACACTCAGTGGGAGCATAAGGCTTGGATTGAATTCAGGAAGAGAATTTTAAGATATTCTCAAAATATTTTTTCCCTCCCTACTCTAAATAAGGATTGATAAAAACAATCTTAAAAAGCAATGGTTATTATTTTCCTGTTGCTTCTGCCTCATTTTTCTTCAGTGCCTCCCACTTTCCATCCATCCCCTGAAGAAATGTACCCTGAACTAGAGCCAGAGGCAGGGGAACATCGTGCACCCTCCCTTGCTGCTGCTGCTCCAAAAATGCTGACTGCTTGTAGGTTTTCAAAGAGTCTGTCTCTGCTAGGGAAAAAATAATGATGCATGAAAATCCTCCAGAAATATGTGGATACCTAGTAGGAGTTTGGGCATAAGGTCTGTCTTGAAATAAAGGAAATTCAGGAATTTTGACCCTGCAGTTGTTATATCTTTTCTGATTAAAATGAGGTGAAGCTGATATGTACACTGTCAAGTTACTGTATTGGTTTCTACTCCAGCACAGTGATTTCCCCAAGATTTCCCCGGCGCCTGTTCCTGTTGTGCAACAGACTGTTCTGCGAAGCAGTGCAATAACAGGCTGACTATATTGATGCTTTTATTGATACTAAAAGCTATGTTATCTAGGGTGCAAATACTACTTACACCCAGAGGTACTAATGCTTGTACTGATAGAGCAGGTTTAGCATGTCAGTTGATAGTCCATTTTTGCTGTTGATCTGCTGGTATTCTCTTACACATTAATAAAATCTTGTTTGGAAAACTAAGGACTCTCTGATTGGAAGCATGTTTGTGGGAGCTAGCATAGTTGGGAGCAAGATGTTCGACA